GGATGTTATTCCAATGCTTGGTATGCTTTAAATCTTGCTGAATCACTCCATGGAAGTCCACCTGCAAGAGAGAAAGATGAAAATGACCAATTGTGTTATGGCTGTTACAGTCTGTATCTAAGGTTGGGAATAGCTTGGATGGATGTTAATGAAGTTGTTTGGGGTGGTTTGGATGAAAACGCACGATGGAATGTTGTTGGCCAAGTCAAAATGCAGAAAGTACCCTGTTTTGCCACAAAACTGTGTTTTGATGGATGAGGGAGTTTCAGGGATGGCTTGGTCGTGTTTCAGGTTGTTTAGGGAGTATGGAAAATGTGGAGAAAGTTTGTTTTAGTTCTTGCTTGCAGGAAGTGAATGTTGGATCAGTTTTGCCAAGTTTCTTCTCCCTTAAGCCACAAAATGTCAAGTTGATCTTTAGGCTTATGCAGGCCCCTCAAGTATGCTGCCTCAATCTCTCTTGATCAGTGTGTTATGTCCAAGAATCCTGTGTCCAAAGATATGGCTTTGTATTCACAAACTTGACATAAAGCCATACTTTACAAAAATGGATAAAGTGCTTTTTCCAATTAAGGCTTAATTCTTCATGTAATGTCCAAATGCACAAAATAATGCTAACACACAATGGATTGGCATTTAATTATTGAGTGCAAATGGGATTAGAGGTATGTAACTAGCTTATGCATGCTGATTTGAAAAATTGCACAAGTTATGAACATGTAAATTGGCCATGAACAAAGTGAGTTTTTCCCATATTGCCAAATTCGATTTTCTCTAACCATAAGGTTGTTTGATGAGTTCTTGGACATTTTGGAAAGCTTGGAATGTGTACTACAATCCATCTTTGTAATGAAAATTGAAATTCCAAGTGGAAGCATGTGAAAAGTGGCCATGAAGTTAGGCAAAAATCCTGCCTAAAATAGGTCAAAATTTCTCTAAGTTAAGAATGGTTTTGCACCCTTAATCCAAAAATTATAACTTGAGCTACAAGCTTCTTTTGAGGAAAATTTGTGAATCAAAGTTGTAGATTTTGCAATGGACTACAAATTTCATGTTTTGACTTTTGCTTGAATCCACATGCATCTTGATGAGAAAGTGGGACAAAGTTAGAAAAAAATTAGGGATTTTCATAACTTAGAAAAATTCTAAGTTATGAAAATTCTTCATTTTAAACCCTAATTTGCAATTTTTGATTTCTTGATGAACAAGTTTCATAATTTGGCATGTTTTGATGAAAAATGAATCTTGACACTTGATTTTGACCAAAAAGTCAAAGTTTGACTTTTCAGTATACAGTCAATTTGGCTCAGTTGACTGGAAAATTCATTTGTCAATCTTGTGCATTTGGGATCTTTTGAACTTGTTGAACATGTCAAGACAACTCCATTGGGTCCTTGAGTCCACATATGAGCTTGATTTGTCATTGGTTAGGTCCAACAGTCAAAAATTGCCTTTGTGCAATCAAAACCCTAAAAATGACCATTTTGCCCTTTTGGTGATCTGATCAAATTTCTTGTGGAATTGTGATCCAAACTTGACCAAATGGTTCATATGAGTTCAATATGTTGATGTGGGTCAAAAATCATGAGGTTTGACTGTCAATTGGCCACAGTTGACTTTTTCCCCAATACAGCTGATTTCTAGGTCAACTGTCCAGTTGACTGGGCAAAGATTGGAATCAAGGATTGAAATTTGGTATGGGTAAACTTGAGAGTCCAATATGAAGCATGAAAGTCATTTTAGGCATTTTAGGTCAAAACATCTTTGTGCAAACACAAACCCTAATTTGGGTCAACAGTGCAAGGAAGAGTCTTGAGCAGAGCAAACCCTAACTTGATCTTGAGCTCCAAGGATCTTGTGGTGAGAAGATACTGATGAAAATGGGAGGGAAAATTTTGGGGTACAACACCCATCTCTTATCCCCAAGTGATTCAAGAGATAATTCCCCATTGTGCGTAAACTTGGGACATGTATTCAAAGGGATCCACATGGTGTTCTGTATCCATTCTTCGGCATATTCACTTCTATCACCCCCTCAACAGTTCAGGATGTATGGAGGTTTGGTCAGATTATCTCTTCCTTAAACGGTACGATTCAGAATCCAGCAGTGTACCTAAAAACTCGCTTCATCAGCAATTCAATCCTCAGCAGAGTCAACAACAACCTTTGGTCTTCAAGAGCTCCCCAGGGCAAAAAAATTTATCAGTATCCCCAACAACCTTTGATACTACAGGCTTCCAACGTCGATATATATTGACATCCCCAGTGATGAGCAATGGTTCCCAACGAGCCTTCTCTTATTCCCATGAAGTTTATTTCTTCACATTGCATATAGTTATCATTACATAACATTGCATCCTCAAAAGCGCGTAGCAGATCCATCAGAATGGATATTTGCGTCAAAAGAAATTCAAAACATGTATACAAAGCATAAGCCAGATCAGGTACCTTACATGAAAGACCTGAATTATTCAAGGACAACAATACGTCCCTACAGGAGGGTATCATGCCCAAAGTCCCCAGTCGGTGACCTTCACCTTTTCAATGCCCAGCAAAATCAATACACTTTGTCATTCTAAACCCAGCTCTTGTCCGGTAGTCAGTTCCCTAAACACTCGTCATGTCAACTTCCAACACTCGTCTGTATCAGTTCCCTAAACGCTCTTTGTGTCAACTTCCAACACTCGTCGTGTCAATTCTAAACACTCGTCGTGTCAATTCCTAAACACTCGTCTGTGATAATTCCTAAACACTCGTCGTGTCAATTCCTAAACACTCTTCCGTGTTAATTCATAAACACCCACCCGGGTCAGTTATTCAAACACTCGTCCGTGTTTAAACTTTTTCTCCTTTCAATACTCGTCCGTATTAAATCAAACACTCGTCCGTGTTTAACCTTTTGATACTCGTCCGTATCTCCTTTCAATACTTGTCCGTATTGATTCAAACACTCGTCCGTGTTTAACCTTTTGATACTCGCTTGTATCTTCCTTCAATACTCGTCCGTATTGATTCAAACACTCGTCCGTGTTTAAACCCTTTGATACTCGTCCGTATCCTCTTTCAATACTCGTCCGTATTGAATCAAACACTCGTACGTGTTTAACCTTTGATACTCGTTTGTATCTCCTTTCAGTACTCGTCCGTATTGATTCAAACACTCGTCCGTGTTTAACCTTTCTTGATGCTCGTCCGTGTCGCTTATCTAAACAATCATCATGTCATAACCCATGTAACCTTCGTCGAACCTGAGATCGCCTCATTGGCTAGGTTCTTCCCTCAGATCATCGAACCTGAGATCGCCTCTTAGCTAGGTTCTTCCCTCAAACCTTCGTCGAACCTAAGATCGCCTCTTGGCTAGGTTCTTCCCTCAAATCATCGTCGAACCTGAGATCGCCTCTTGGCTAGGTTCTTCCCTCAAACCTTCGTCGAACCTGAGATTTCCTCTTAGCTAGGTTCTTCCCTCAAATCATCGTCGAACCTGAGATCGCCTCTTGGCTAGGTTCTTCCCTCAAATCATCGTCGAACCTGAGATCGCCTATTGGCTAGGTTCTTTCCATTTACTTTGTCTTAGAACCTGAGATCGCCCTTTGGATAGGTTCTCTGTCAAATCACTCTCATGTGTCACCTTAGGATCGTAGGTCGTCCGTAGACCTTGTTCGTTGTCTTTTCATACCAACCATTTCTCTTGTATTGGCATCAAGCCACGTTACAAGTCCAATCTCTGTCTCTTCATTGAAAAAAATCAAAATTTCCTTTCCCCAGTAAATATCACAAAAATAAATAAAGAAAACATTCTCTCTCTCTCTCTCTCTCTCTCTCTCTCTCAGGACAAATTTTTTGGCATTGATATTTAATCATCTTCAACCTTGAACTTCCGAAAGGCATGTGCCAATCGTACTTTCAGGTTTAAGACGATTAAATAGGGGCAGCTGTAATACCCTAAATTTGTCCTACCCTTCTACTTTTATCTGGTTTACGCATTGTCGCACTTTTCGCATGTACATATTTCCATTAGGTCATTTAACATTGCATACATTCGCTAACAACATAATTTGGCATAGAATCAGTGATATGGTGGAATTAGGGTTTTTATGGCGTTGACGGTCCTCATCTTCACTCACGCTTGAATCAGTTGGTTTCTTCGACAATTATGGTTTGAAGATAGGGTTTTGGATGCATGGCTATTATGGACTTCTTTCTTATCAAGCTACAAGGGCATCTTCACCATGGGCTTTTAAACCATCAAAGTGCATCTCAAGGGATCTCAGGACCTTGTGATCATCGTCAGTTATATGCTTCTAATTGTTCCTATCTACAAGATTTTCTTCATGACATTAACTTCAAGATCATTGGTTGTCTATTGAGGTGCATTGGTGGAATGGATTACAAAGTTTAAATCGTGGTATAAAGATGAAGTGGTGATTGAGATACTAGCGTGTTGTTTGAGATACAAGTTAACGTGGATGGAAGAGTTGAAATAGGGGTTTTCATGACGATTCAAACTCGGTTGAAGTTCATATTAGTATTAAAGTGAAAGAGGCATTTACTAGGAAATCAAGTCACAATCAAGTTTAAAGTTCATTCAATCATTTGAGGTTATTAAAGCTTGGTGATCCATTCATAAATGTCAAGGGAAGTTTGATTATTCAAGACCTTGATGGATCAATGTCCATGACTCATCTAGAAGCAAATACAAAATTAGAAACGGGAGAGAAAGCTACTTGAAGTATTCGGATTTTTGCCATTCGAACTCGAAGGTTCTCGTTATATTACAAAGTCATCATCATTTTTTGTCAACATAATTACAAAAGCAAAGAAAGAAATTAACGAAAGGGAAATTCGCTTTGAGTATTTGAAGGTTGCCATTATACTATCAAGTATAAGATCATTTCATGGCACCTAATACATTATACCAAGTTAGAAAAGGCAATATCAAGTATCAATAAACATCCATCACATACTATGGTACAAAATTTTATTACAACTTGGTGACTGCTCTCTCAGATTTTTATGCCTTCATTCATTTTTGCTTGGCTTGAGAAGATCTCCATAAGTCCATCTCGAGTTGTTCTTGCTCTCCACCCCAAGTCTTGTCCTGTATCCAAGACTAAGTTATGCCAAACAACAAACATGCTTTGAGGCTTGAAACCAGCCATGTCCTGCAATTAATCAAACAGCAGCGCTCAGTAATGAATAAAATAATATATATGCATAATACTGTTTAGTGCAGTACTGTCCATCTCAAACTTTCAGATATGGAAATAACCTAACATTTTTCCTCTAATTCATCTTTTTGTTCCTTTGAAATCAACTCAACTTCATCAAAAGATGATCACAACATTCATTCCTCTTTTCCTCTCACTCCTAATTTCTCTTCCTTCAATTTCCATACTCTGATCCATTTAAAGACAACCAAATTTTCCTCCTACAGCAGCACAATAACAAACTGCATAATAAAGAGCCAACTCAGCTCCCTAACTGTTATCTCAAGAAACAAAAACCATATAACTAACCTTCAGTTTTAACCAACTGCTTCCAAACTGTTTCTAACTTCCAATTCAGAACAGTTTCCTAACCAACTTCCTAACTACCGTAACCACTTTCTAACCAACCTCGTTCATTCCCTAACCATCTCCGAACAATCCAAACTACAAACATTTCAAACAGAACTCTAACAAACTAACAGAATTCACAACCGCCTAACCAATTTTCCAATTAACCATAACAGAATTTCAGTTACAACTAACTTATTCATATTCAGAGAGCATGATTCAGAAATTTATTATTCGGTCTCAGATCCACAATCATGGATTCAACAAGAAAAACTTAGAGATTTTTCACGATTCATGCATAACAAAAAAGTCATAGAAAATCGGATACTCACCTTTCAACCTCACTCTCTCGGCAATCTCCACCTTCCATCATCGTCTTCAACCTTCACTCTCAATCTCCATTCTCTCTCTGTAACTTCCATTGTTTCCCTCTCTCTCTCTCCAAATCATAATCAACCTTCCTTCTCTTCTGCACCTTACACCTTCATCATATTCTTCTCATTGCAACACCTTCATCACCAATCCTCACTCTCCCTATGTCGATTCTTCACATTATTGCGTCTCCATCTTCATCATCACCTCTGAATTCACCATTAGCAATACCATTACCTTCGCATCACCTTCACGCACAAGGACACACAACTCAGAAATCACTCAAAAGTAGAAGAAGAAGGAAGCATCACAAGAAAACGAAAGAATTAAAGATTTCGTACCTCAAATACAATTCGACATCTCTGGTTTCCTTTCCTGTTCGTCACAGTTAAAAACGCATCGGATGGTCTCCGATCATTCAGATCGGAACTTCGATTGAATCCTTTGCACTGGTCTAACATTGATTCAAACGGAGACGGAGGATTGAGGACAGGATGAGCGAAACCCAAAGCACGGCGGAGCAGATTAGGACGAGGTCGTGAGGTAGATGGAGATGAGGAAGACATAAATGGAGGCGATGCATTGCGATGAAGACGATGGCTGTAGCAACAATGTTTTAGATCGAAAAGGGAAGAGGAAGATAATGCCGCCGTTCTTTGAAAGAGAAGAGAGGAAAAGTTCGTTTTGTGTTTATCGCGAAGATGAAGAGTCACAAATGTGAAAACCCTAGTTCACACACCTAAACGCCACCGTTTTCTTAACTGGTTTTTTTCTTTTAATTTAATTTTAATTTTCATTATTAGGCATTAGATTTTTCTGATGTATCAACCTGGACTGGGCCTAGCCCAGTGAATTCTAAATACACTCCCTGTTTTGATCTGAATCCCCTAGGATTTCTTTAATTTTTTCATTTTGTTCTTAATTTTGTGCAATTAATTTTGATGTTTTCTTGCATGATTTTTGGCTGAAATTTGGTGTGAATATTTATATGGTGATTCCCGACTTGTTGATATTTTAATAATTTTTTTTATTAGCATATGAATTAATTAAATTAGTGTTTAATACATGGTTAGAATTAAGATTTTTACGCGTTCTTGTCGATTTTGTATCCTTGATTCAATTTCCTTCGCATGAGGAGTGGTTTGGAGGAAAGTTCTGATCCTTGAATAATGCCACGTTATTTTTGACGCGTTTGTCCATTGTGCGAGGAATTTCTGATTATGCTTTGCATTCGCAACACGCATTTACCTTTATCTTAGTCGAATATTATTCCTGACTCTGTTTGTTTCTTGGTGAAGCTTGCTCGACGCGTACTCATTGCTTTTTCAGTGCTTTCAACGACTTGCTCACTTTGGTAGCCTCCGCTACTACTCTGGCACTTGTTTTTACTTTGTTACATTTCATTATCACTTTATATAAATCATGAGAAATAGGGCATTATCATAAACCATATGCATGCCAACATCAGGTAGAATTCCCTCATTCATCCTTGACTTAGATCTAACAATGAATAATAACAATAGGTGTAGAAATAGGTTAATCCCCCTTTAACTTTTCTTCCCTTTTGCATTCGCACTAAAACAAAAACTTCTTTTTTCTTTCAAAATTCAAAACACTTTAAAACTACTGATGAGAATCACGTCTTTTCTTAGTACGGGAAATGATAAGCGAGTCTCTTCTCGATCTTATTGTTCTTCATCTCAAGTTTAGGTGTGGTTCAACTCTCAAAGACTCCTTTCATAGCTAAGTAGAAAAGTGGCTAATATCTCTCTCTTGAGGTCAACTAGTCATCATCTGCAACAAAATACAAATCAACTCAAACCATTTGTGCGCTCGAGCACTTTTCTAAAAAACCCTTTTCAGGCAAGGACACGATTAATTTACTTTTGTGCCAACGCATAAGTCTCCAAAGGTCGAGCTGCGGCAGAAGGCGAAATTAACTTCGTCCGTAAAAAACTTAAACAAAAAAAAACATATGAGCCGAACTGCGGTAGCTCTGATTCCTCAAAACGGATACGTAGGCATTGGGGTAGGGCCCAAGCGAGCATAATTTTATTTTCCCTACATTCTTTCCCCTCTTCTTTTGCATGCATTTTCCCTTAGCAGTAATAGACAGTAAGCATAGATTAAACACACCCATAAGATAGATAACAAGAGTGGATACCGTAGAATACTACGGGCGTGTGGGGTGATAATACCTTCCCCTCGCGTAACAGACTCCCTTACCCGATCTCTCAGTCGCAAGACCGTGACCTCTCCCTTCTCAGTTTTTCTCGATGTTTACCTTTCCCTACAGGTGGGATAAAAGACGTTCGATGGCGACTTCATTATTTGATGATTTTCAGCCGGTTGTTTCACCGTCCTACCAGTTATCATGGAGTCTTTTTCTGAGGAAGAGGTCACGTATACTGTCCTCCATTCTAAAATGCCTAATTCTCTTGAAGACTTGCAAAAGGGTTGGATTCAGCTAAAGTAAGAACGAGATACTTTTGAAGCTCAGTGCTACGCGGGTGAGAAAAGGATTTTGGAGCTTACAAAGAAACTACATGAAGAACAGAGCTTGAACGCCTACCTTGCACCAAAGAGGATGCGTTCGACCTTTTCATCTTAGAGATTTATTTTGTAAGCCCAAGAGGCACATTGTAATCATTTTGAACTAATTAATGAAAGTTGACGTTTGTTCATTCTTTGTCTAGACAAATTTAAATTTCATAAATCCTTGAAACCATTTGCATATGCATATTCCATACATCATAACATAGCAGGTTTCCCACGACAGGTTTCCTTATCTTTCTGCTATTTATTTCAGTAAGATGGATATCGAGAAAACAGTGAAGGACCTACAAGCACAAAACTCTCAGTTTCAAGAGACTCTGCTGACCCTGGCCAAGGTGAAACAAGAGTTGATGACTGTTGTACCCCAAAATTTTCCCTCTCATTTTATCAAGATTCCCCCCCCCCCATACAAGACTCTTTGAACTCCAGAAAGGATTAGGGTTTGCTCTGCTCAAGACATCTCCTTGCACTGATGACCTGAAATTAGGGTTTGAGTTTGCACAGGGATTTTTGGACTTCCAATGCTCAAAGTGACTTTCATACTTCATATTGTATCTAAAAGATTTCCTCTACCAAGTTTCAAGCCTTGAATCAAATTTTTGACCAGTCAATTGGACAATTGACCTAGAAATCAACTGTATTGGGGAAAAAGTCAATTGTGGCCAATTTACAGTCAAACCTCATAAATTTTGATCCACATCAATATTATAAGCTCATTTGAACCATTTGATCAAGTTTGTACCATAACTCCTCAAGAAATTTGATCAGATCATCAAAAGGGCAAAATGGTCATTTTTAGGGTTTTGACTGTATAAGGGCAATTTCTGATTTTTCACCTAACCAATGGAAAATTGGGTTCAAGCATGGACTCAAGGACTCAATGGCATCATCTTGACCTATTCACAAGGTTCAAAAGATCTCAAATGCATTGGATTGACAGATGAATTTTTCAGTCAACTGATCAAAATTTGACTATACACTGAAAAGTCAAACTTTGACTTTTTGGTCAAAATCAAGTGCCAAGGGTCATTTTTCATCAAGATGTGTCAAAACATGAAACTTGTTCATCAATAAACCCAATTTTGCAAATTAGGGTTTAAAATTGAAAATTTTCATAACTTAGAATTTTTCTAAGTTATGACATTTTCTTATTTTTTTTCAACTTTACCCAACATTTTCACCTTGATGCATTTGAGTTCAAACAAAACTTCCAACATGAAAGTTGTAGTCCTCCACAAAATCTAAAACTTTGATTCACAAAGTTTTCTCAAAAGAAGCTTGGATCTCAAGTTATGATTTTTGGAACAAGGGTCCATGAAACTTTTAACTTAGTGAAATTTTGCCCTAGTTTAGGCAGGATTTCGACCTATCTTCATGGAAATTTTTCACCTAGTTCCACTTGGAATCTCAAAATGTATTTCAAATATGGATTTTAGAGCATGTTACAAGCTTTCTAAAATGTCCAATAACTCTCCAAAATCATTTATGGTTAGGGAGAATCGAAGGCTTGAAGTTGGCAAAAACTCACTTTTAATCCATGGCATGTTCATATTGATACAAGTTGCAAACTCTAATCAGCCTTGTTTATACTTGATTACAGGTCCCAAAACCCTTACATACTCAATAATTAAATGCAAATCCATTGGTCTAAGGCTTTATTTTGGTCATGGGAGGATTGCACACAAGATTAATCCTTAAATAGCAAAAAGGCAACATTGCCATTTTTGTCAAAATTGCTTTATGTCAAACCACATCTCTTGAGCCTTGAACAAGATATGGTACAGCACACAATATCCACCAATTGAGGGGCCAAGATCACAAAAGGCAGGCTGATAGATAGCATGTACAGGCATGTCTTGCATCATTGCTTGTTTTTGCTTAAAATACAAGAAACATGTCAAATACAACACAACTTGAACATATGAGAGAACCAACCCTTGCAAGCTTTTGAAATAAGTTTTGTGCATTCCCTTGATCCAGAAACACGAGCCATTGAACCCTCAAACCTTCCATAGCACAAAATCACCTTCCATTGGCAAAAAAGGGCACTCCCTGCAGTTTGACTTCCATAGCAAAAACCACTCGTGCGTTTTGCCTCAAACTTATTCAAACACATTCCACATAACCTATCCAAGCTATCCCAACCATTGAAGAGTGACTGTAACTCCCTTTATAAGGTTTACCATTTCTGTTTTCAGCTTGTGCAGGTTGAGTTCTACAAGCTTGTTCAAGCACATTCAAGGCAAGCTAGGCATTGGGGAAGGTCAGAGGAAGTTCAAACAAGCTCCCAAACATATCAGGCTTCACTGAAAAGCTCCACATTGCCATACACGAAGTCAACTGAAACAGGTTTTTGTCAACTTCCTATCTCTCTATTTAGGAATCATTAGGCTTAAGTTTGTGAATAAAAAATGTAGTATTCATAGCCATGAAGTTGTACATATGCTCAGTTTTCATTTAAGTTAAACGTGTTAAGAGAATTTGATTCATGAACTTCCTGAAAAAATTAGGTTAGAATTTAGGGCCAGAGAAATTCTCTCTGGTCTTTGAGAGTTAGATCAAGTTTCTTATATGGTTGAATTCGTCTTGAAAAATGCTACAACTTTGATGTTATGGGTTTTTGCATTAGAGCACGTATACAGGTTTTCCATGTTTGAAGTCAGGCGCACGTTTTTGTTTTTGACAAAGGTTGAAGATGAAGTTCATGGGTTGGGCTTGGTTCTGGCCTTGTTTTTGACACCCCCTTTTACTGATTGCACCCCACTGGCCCATTTCTTTATGTTTTTATATTTTTGTATTTATTTTTCATTTCTGATTTTATTTTATTATTTTCCAAACATAAAAAATACCAAAAGTATTTTTATAAATTTTCACATTTATTTTTGTATTTTATTTTATTTTTTCTAACATAAAAATAATTTAGTGAGTATATACCTTTACTTTTATTTTAATGAAAACTAGAAAATGATACATTAAATATTATACTTTTACTTTTTCTATTATTTATACT